ATTACTATTAGAACTGCGACTTACAGAAGAGGAGGTGGTGGTGGTGGTGGTGAAGGTCCGCCGGTAGGGAAGGCGTAGGCACCGGCGCGTAGTTCGACAACAAAGCCGAAGCATTACTATGGTAAAGTAGCTTGTTTAAGACGAAGAAAAAACAGAACAAAAATTCAGCTTTTTTCTTTTTTTTTTTAAATTAAGCAGTTTTGGCAAAGGAGAATGCAGTTCGGAGATTTGATGATCGGCCAAGGAAGGTAATCAGAAAAGTGAGGACGGTAGTGTTTTACAAGGAAGAAGAAAGGGAGAAGGCGTTCGCCGGTGGTAGGAAAGAGAGGGGGAAGATGGGAGGAGGGAATTTTTGAGGGAAGATGCGAATACGAAACCATGATATAAACTGTCAAGAGAAGGGCACGCGTTCCGAAAGGGAGTGAGCAGCACTGTCCAATCATATTGACGGTTATGACTCTACGTTTTTTCATCCTCCTAATTTTTACTTTTGTCCAAATTTTTTTTCTTTTGTTTCTTCGGAAAAAATTACCATATGATAAAAAACTAAAGTAAAAGATATAACAAATTATATGATAAAAAAGAATAGAGGTAATGTCATTATAAAAATAAAATATTATTAATATTTATCAAATTTTATCATTAATTAAAAATTATGTCCCGAAGTCAATCTCGTGATGTCATTGCTTTAAGTCTCAATCCATTCTCCACTACTAATCCCTCAATTTTCTCTAGACCCAAGACGATTCTCTAAAACTATTTATATCATTTAATTTAGAATTAAACTTTTATGCACTGATAGTATAAAAAAAAATTTTATGTTAGTATGTGCGCACGTGCACACACACACAAATATATATATATTTATATATATATATATATGCTACCTACGTGAAAAGAGAATTTCAATTTTAAAATTGAATTACGTAACATACATCTACATTTGTTTGTGTATAAATTGACAGTGCAGAAAAAGTTTACCTCTACCACAAATCATAAACTACAATTTGATCAAGGGGTCATTACTCTCTTCTCTCTCTCTCTCTGAATGGCAGAAATTGAAAAGGCTATTTTTAATAACATAGAAAGTATTTAAGAGGTTTGAAACGATGGTCCGTTAATCTGATGCGCGCTGCACAAGTTCGAGCCCAATAGTTTTTATATGAGTTGGCCCAGAGGATGACTCGAAGCAAACATCTAATTTCCTGCCCTGCATTAGATTATTCCAAGAGGAGATGCCCATTGCAGAGTCCATTGCAGACAGATGGACATGCCCATTTTTACGGACGGTTGAGATGTTCTGAAGCGAAAATTCCTATCTTCTTCTTCTTCAGATGTAATAATGTCAACAAAGTCTATTTACCCACATCTCAATTTTTTACAGCGTGGGGGTTATAGTTTCTCAAAGGTTCACATTTAACTTTCAGCTACTCGAGGTAAGGTAAATTTGTAGAATAAAAAATGTAAAATGTGCTAGATATATTCTTCAAGTAATGGACAGGCATTAAATGGGGATAAAAGAGTCAAGTGCTATATTTTTCTAGGAAAGTTTAGTAGAAATCAACATTTGGATAATAATTTATTCAGATGGGTGCACCTAGTGGTATCCTTATACTATATAAGAATGAGTTTGGGTCAAAGAATGGCTTTGAATTTCAACCGCAAGAGTAGGGGTATTTTGGGATTGTGAGATTTTTTTGAGTGTAGTTATAGTATTGGGTACTACTATAGAATTATAGATAGCATGTGCATTATTATGTTTACTAAAATGTCCTTGTATTCTAAAAGATGCAGTGATGATTTGTTCAAAGGTTTGGGTAGTTTGGGAATGTGAGATTATTTGATCATCTTTTCTACAATGGGTACAACCCATAATAGTTTCTTTATTGGTGTAATTACTTAAATGTCCTTGCAGAGACATTCATTTTGGTTTGTATCAATTATTACTGTTACTTTGCTATTATAACTTGAAGAACTTCAAACGTCATTTTCATCTCAATTAAAGCAAGGACAAGGTGGTTTATTAAGGAATTTATGATTGAGCTTTAGTTTCAACTTCAATTCTTCAAATGTCTGCCCCTTCACATTCTTCCGTTATGTTCCTTTCGTCTTCCGATAAATACTTATTTGTATTGCCATTGTACTCTGGATTTCAATATGATTCTCTGGTGAAGTTATTCTTGGTGGTTCAACTTGAGGTGAGGTTTCATTCTTTTTTTTTAATGGTATGATTTGCTTTGTAAAATCGTAATTTCTATTGTTAGCTAAATGCTTTCATTCCAAAATTGGATACTCTGTTAGCGCAATTTAATGTTGATATTATTGTTTCCCCACAAAGTTGGTTGTTCTATACAATTTAAATGATGTGGTTTTGTTGGAATAGGTTTGGAGATACAAAACTTCCTCTTTTGATCTACTTACACGGTGGAGGCTTTTTGATCAAATCTACCTTCTCTCTTACATATCACGCGCACCTTAATGTAGTAGTTGTAGAAGCTGGTGTTGTAGCAGTTTCAATTAACTATTGGCTCGCCCCTGAGCATCCTTTGTCTATTGCTTATGAAGATTCTTAGATTGCAGTCAAATGGGTTGCACCACGTTCAAATGGCGAGGGTCCTGAGGTATGGCTTAGGGATTATGCTAGCTTTGATAGGATGTTTTTTGGTGGGGATAGTGCTGGTGGCAATTTAGCACATAACATGGCATCAAGGGTTTGGCTGGAGATACTAGACGGCTTCGATCTTGATGTGATTTTTCTCAATTGCCCTTATTTTTGGGGAAAAGATCTAATTAGTATTGAGTTAATGAAATTACAGGTAAAGGCCTATGTTAAGGGCATTTGGCATTATGTTCACCCAAAATCTACGGGGGTTGATGATCCATTGCTGAATTCTCGGATGGAACCAAACCTTTTGAGGCTAGGCTTTGTCGTTGCTAAAAAAGTTGGCTACTTTCATCAACAAGAATGTTGTGTAGATGCATTTTTAAGTGGATAATCACTTTGTTTATTGCCATTAATCATTTGGGTATTTGTTTAAAGTTCATTTAGTCTTGTTAATGAAAAGCTCATATACAAGTGTTTGTTTCAAAATATATGAACTGATCAAGATAGCATGCATAATTTTCTTCTCCATCTTCCAGTATACATTAGATATTTTGTTACTTCATATTGTTACTCAATGTGCGTGAGTTTTTTGATATTCGTTTGAACTACCGTAAAATCTTCTTTAACCACAGGCACCAAACACCCGCGTGATGCGCGGGCATTTCCCTCCTAGTGGTCTATAAACAATTAAGTTTCAACTTGACCAATTAAAAGAAAATTTGTCCTCAGATCTCCATTGTTCTTCCTATATTTTTATAATCGATTCATAATCAAAATATTTAACTAATCTTTTAGATAAAAGTCGAATTAGGAAGACCATATGATGATAAAATTTCACGATGACTTATTCACGACAATTAATTATGCCATAATAGCTGAAACCTATGATCCTAAAAGGCTAAATCAGTAGATATTTGATAAAATATTCAAGAAATTATACCGATTAAATTAAGGATCAATGTCATGGCTTATCAAAAGCTGGAACTGGAATGAGGCATTCTCAGTATGTTCTTTTGACGAATGGTGAAAAATGCAGCGTGCCCATGATTTCTGCTATGATATTGTCTTGATACGATATGTCATACTTATATTCTTTAAAAATAAAGTAAACAAACTCTTAATTAGTTGTTTTGGATATATTACTATTAGGGTGCTATCGAGTCTGGTCAAATTCGAATAGTGCATTATTCAAACTCTATTTGAGTAAAAATACTTAAGTTCAAACTCATCAAGTTTTTCAAAATTGAGTTGGAACTTATTTTACAAATCGAGCTCAATCGAGTTTTGAAACTCAATTTTTTTTTTATAGAAAGTTTCATAATTTTATAATAAATAATTAAAATTTATATTATAAATACACTATTCGATAAGGTTTAACGAGTACTCAAGTTTTGATTTTTTCTATTTGAACTCGACTCGATTATCTTATCAAGTAGTTCGAACTCAATTCGAATTTAGTTAACGCGGAGTTTAAGTTGAGTTACTTGCAAGCCCTGATTAATCTGCACCCCTAGTTACTACGTAAGTTCCAGGAAGCATCACGTAAAGAGAGCTCTAGGGCGCGTTTTCGCATCTCAAAGAATTCTGGCTACTACTGTTCAACTCTGTCCGGCTTGCATGCACGTTTGACCGTTCAACTAATTAAATTCGTGTAATGACGGGCAATATATTGTCTTGACTATCCGAGAAGATAAAATCATAAAACTGTAGGCAGCATTGAGATAATCATCCAGTTTACAATGACTAAATAGTTGATTCAAAGTTATCCCAGATGCCACCTCCAAAGAGAACAATCATTTCACTTCAGGTTCTAACTTCTAACTTGCCGATGGAAACAATTAACACTCGTGCAAACGTAGAAATTTGACTGTATTGTTTAACCTGTGATGTAATCAATGTTTATGAGAACGTTAAACTCAATGAATGTTGTTCCGGCTTCAAATTGCTCGTCTAATTTGGAGTGATTATGGGGATCATTACTTTTTAATAAACGTTTGTGTAAGCTTCTGACATAATTGATATTTCACCTAAACTTATTTGATTTTAATTAATCTTACAGGATTTTTCCGGAGTCAAATTACTTTATATGATCTGGACATCGGATTAAGACGCTCCAACAGTTTAACCAGAATATTGGTCTTTGACTTATTCATTGTCGTGGCTTACCTTCATTCTGGAATTCCCTAACATTATTCAATATATGCATTGTTAAATCAGATAATTCAAGTCTGAATGGCATTCAAGATCTACCAAGTGCAGTTAGCAATAGGAAGAGAATGACTGTACATTCGAAGAAATTTTCTCCATCAATTTGCGGCTAGCATTCTAGCTATAAATGGCACCCTTTCACCACAAAATTCTCCATCACGTTCTTCCCTGCATTTTTTGTAACTTATACAGCTCCATTCTTGCGTATATAGAACAACGACATCTTCTAGTTTCAGCGGCTAGATTTTGATATCTCTATGGAGAAAACAAAACCATCCCACCTTCAAATCCAACCGCCAACCTATGGAAGCCTAGCAACCATTCTAAGCATCGACGGTGGTGGCGTTAGGGGGATTATTCCGGCCACACTACTTTCTTTCCTTGAAGCCCAACTCCAGGTATAGCATTTTCGCCCGCAACAGATCTTCTGTCCCACACTCTGTGCCACTCTCTGTCCCACTTTTTATTATATTACTATTTCTCCTACATAAACATCATATTTTAGTTCTTTTTTGTTTCCTTAAGATCTAATAACTATTAATTCAATAAAAAATAAATACAACAGCTTCAAAAAAGTAATATATAATAGAAAATTAAAAAATACAGTAGAAAATTTATAAAAAATCTCATTTTTTATGCATTTTGATTTTTTGAGTTTGATAAATTTTGTGTATTACTGAATTAATAGTTATTGGATTTTAAGGAAACAAAAAAGAACTAAAATATGATGTTTATGTAGGAGAAATAGCAATATAATAAAAAGTGGGACAGAGAGTGGCACAAAGTGTGGGACAGAAGATCCGTTGCGATTTTCGCCTGCTTAATCATCTTAGCTTATCCAGATTTTGGTCGGGCATTCCCGTTCCTTGACTCTTTTCTTGGTTACGATCATTCCTGTTTTCTAAATGATATTGCTAGGAAGTGGATGGCGACGATGCAAGAATTGCAGATTATTTTGATGTGATAGCCGGAACAGGCACAGGTGGCCTTACAACTGTGCTATTGACAGCGCCAGATGAAAATAACCGTCCTCTCTATACTGCTAAAGATATAAACCACTTCTACAAACAGCAATTGCCTAAGATTTTTCCACATACAAGGTACCTTAGCCTTTACCATTTTTGTTTCTACTTAGGGTAGAAAGATTTGTTAGTTATGATCCGTTTCTAATATCAATAAATTCTCCTCCATTTTATGTCTTTCTAAACTCTTTCTTTTATTTACACTAAAATGCAACTTTACACTGCATCAATCAATAGTATAAGTAGAAACTATATATATATATAAAGCAATATCTCTACACTTTAAGGTCATAGGATAAGTTATAACTATTTTGTTCTTGTATGTGTGAATGATAGGGGAAAAATTGCTAGATATATCAGAAATACAGTCAGATCGGTAACGGGTCCAAAGTACAGCGGCAAGTATCTTCGAAGGTTCACCAGAGACATCCTCGGTGAGAAGCGGATGACTGATTCCTTGACAAACGTTATTATTCCTACGTTCGACATCAAGCAGCTGCAACCAACTATTTTTTCCTCTTACGAGGTAATCACTCTTTCTTTGTGCAGAAACTAGGAAAAAAACACAAAAAATAAATTAAAACAAATGAGGATCAACTTTATCTAAATTCTGGAGTACTATGATCATACCATGTTATAGGCTTACAGCTCTGCAGGGTTGAATGCTCGGTTAGCTGACATCTGCGTTAGCACCTTTGCAACTCCGACTTACTTTCCTCCCCATTATTTCACAACCAAGGATGACGCCGGGATTGTTCGCGAATTCAATCTTATTGATGGTGGCGTTGCTGCAAGTAATCCGGTACGTACTGAAGTATATACAGCGCCTATATGGCATACCATTTTCGAAGAAAAAAATTTATACATTCTGATTTAGACAATATATATATACACTAACGAGTTTAGATACATGATACACTATCTCAATTTAAGTTTAAACTCTAAATTTTATAAATGTGACGTGCATGTAATCCGTTGGTGCACACATGGTTCCTTTGTTCCATGCCTTTCGACATAACCTAACCCTTGAACTTTGCAAGTTTGCATAAGCCTATTCACATGGCTCGTAGAAAAGACTATCCGATGATTTATCATTACCCTGCTTCTGGTTTTAAGGTATAAGGTCGCGAATAAATGAAATGATAAAAGGTTGTCAGGATAGTAGGACAATATCATAAACTTCTTCGACTTTGATTGCAGTCACAGATAGCCACAAGCCGACTTGCCAAACACGTTTTTGGCAGAAACCCGGATTTCCTTCCTATCAATCCAATGGATTACTGTCATTTCCTAGTTATATCTCTAGGCACAGGTTCTGGGAAGGTGCAGAAGAAATATAACTCGAAAAGGGCTGCCAAATGGGGTGTTTTAGGTTGGTTATTTAGCGGAGGTTCAAGACCCATTGTGGATGCATTTACTCAAGCCACTGCAAGCATGGTCGATTTCCATCTTTCTTCACATTTTCAAGCGCTTCATTCTGAAGATAATTACCTCCGAATTCAAGTATGCCTATCAATATATTTTTTTTATTTGTTAAATGCACGGCTTCAACTTTTCCTGATAATTCTTAATGCTACTGAAATTTAACTAGCTAATTAATCAAACGCGCATAAATGCATATTAGGATGACGCATTAACAGGGACAGAACGATGCCTCGATGGTGCGGGGGAGAAGAATATTGAGAGACTGTCAAAAATTGGAGAAGACTTGCTGGAAAAACCGGTTGCAAGAGTTAATCTGGCGACAGGCCTCTCTGAGCCTGTCAATAATGGGGGAACAAATGCAGAAGCTTTGAATAGGTAGAGACTATGGATCTGAGGGACATCATACTGCGACAAACTATTTTGTTTTTAATTCTTCAAAATTAGTTTTGCTAACTAATTTCATCCGGATGCACTTATTTCATAGGTTTGCAAAATTACTGTCAGATGAAAGAAAACTAAGGCAGTCCAAGGCGTTGGTGGGAGCAGCAATCACCCCCTAGAGATACACAACCATTTTTTACCACATCAACAAGCCATGAAAGTCTGGAGTTACAGCATATTATTTGATTGCATGCCAAATAATTGTTTTATTCGTTGATTTATTCTTTTTTTTATTGTTTAATGAAGCCCTAGAAGTGGTGGAACAGGCCTTTTCATCTAATTCCTTATATAATCTTATTGGATTCAATTCTGTCGATTGTCAAAATAATTAAAACAAGAGATTATTCCATTCATGACTGGTAACGTACGGCTTAACGATTAAGATGAATACTACTAAGCAATGAGAACAACTTTAGTTAATACAATTAATTTTTGTGTTTAAGTCGTAACTTCAGAACTACAGCCCCTAACATGACTGATATGTATTACTATCAAAAAATTAACAATCCGACAAGTATGGTATGCTCCTCTTCAGGAGATCGAATATGAACACGAGTAGAATTTGGGAAGAAAGCCGGTGCTAATTCTGCATGTTTTTTTGACTAAATAGCAACACAAATTTTTTCACCATCAAAGTCTCAAGTTACATAAACTATGCTTAGTCATTGCGCAGTAATTTATAATGCATGACTCAGAAATTTGCATATGATAAAACAAGTTAGAGAATTAAGGACTAGCTTTGCTTTGTTGTCTTTGCACCTTTGAACTTGTACTGCTTTCTCACTTTGCACTCAAATTTTAATTTTGGAACATTTTGCACTATAAATTTTTATTTTTAAGTACTCTGCACTCTAAACTTTCAAGTTTATTCCGTTTGAGTCCAACACACAACCATGTTAGCAAAATTAATAGAATGGAGGATCATAAAAATTAGTGATAATATGTTGAAAGTGGTCAAAAGAAACAAAGATATCATAACTAAAATAAAATGATACATTTCCATTATTTTGTATCATACTTTATCTCATTAATTTTGCTAAGTAATGATACACTTTGTTCTAGTTGCAATCCTCTTATTGCTTTTGATCACTTTCAACATATTATCATTGATTTGTACGAACCTCTACTCCATTAATTTTACTAACATTGTTATTGATTGGATATCAATGGAATAAACTTGAGAATTTATCTGTAAAGTGTGCAAAAATTGAGAGTTTAAAATGTAAAATATTCAAAATTAAAATTTAGCGTGCAAAGTGAGGAAGTGGTATAAGTTCAAAGATGCAAAATGGAGTTAGTCCTAGAATTAAAAAGAAAAACCCGTAATAATCTTAAATGTAAGACTCAGAAATTCGCATATGAATCTATGATAATATATTCTTCAAAGAATGACGCTCGTGACTGTATCACTAAATTTGTCAAATGCATGCAGATTTTATCCTGCGAGGTTAATTTAATTAAGGTCTTTCTTTAGGTGGCAGCCATGGATATCGCTAACCTGACCATGCACCAAGAAACCTGACCAGGGAGATGATCAAAAAGAAGAAGATGGTCAATTTCATTAATTAATTACAGATACAGCTTACGTACGTGCGTGCATAAGGCTTTGTGCTATTTAGTTATACAATCATTACATTTTTTTATTGGCATGACACGTCTGCACCAATCGGAAATCGTTGCGACAATTCAACGTTTTTGAACAACGTTTTCCTTTCAAACAAAAACAAGTACCATATGTCATACGTGCCTCCGAAAACGAACTAAAAAGTACTACTATAATATATGTTCTCTGGTGAAGGATTAAATTTCAGAAAAGCCGCCATTTATTTAATTCGACAAACAACTTGCCACTGAAAAATCTATGAGGGGTCATTGTTGTAGAATGTCTATCCACAAATTATATCAGACATGTAACTGCATCATCTACGCATCTAGAGATTAGATTGATCTTTTAGTCAACTGTCAAACCATCGATAAAATTAAATAAAAGAAAACTTCCAAACCATCAAAATGAAGCAAGTATTGCTTTCATATAGAGATAAACAACGTCTTGTATTAGACTGCTTCCAGCTTAAAATATTCGGATAATATAGTCAGAACAAGTATAGTTGCATGGCAATTATTTTTATGTGGGAAGTTGTCGTGCTTTTTCAAGAAATGAGATGAGACCATCTTGGTCATTTTTTCGTGTAAATAGGTGTGTACCCTTTTAAATTGCAGCCACTTCCCCTAACTTTTGAATGCTCATACTTGCCTCTCTTTATGTTATGAAAAGATTGTAATATCCGTCATAAAATATATAGATCCTAAGGGGAAAATGGGGTTAAAGAAGAAAAAAGGATACCTGTTTTCACTGCTACCTTTTTATTCAAGAGTACTAACACATCTCATCTTGTATATTATATTCCATTCTCACTTCTTATAGGTGAATTCTTGGACAATTCTACAAATAACCCACCAACCAATAGGGATGCATTTTTGTTAAAAGTAGTCTTTTCAAATATTACTTAACAAAGAAAAAATATATATAAGAAAGGCCCAAGCACTAAGAAAGGATTCCTCCAAGACATAAATTATTATTTTTTTTTTTTGAAAAGTGACAAGCTGTCGAAGCCTGTATAATAATAAAAATAAACCTAATTGCCAGTTAAAGTAACCAAAACCCGATTCCAAGTACTGGAGCAGGGACTCTAGGTGTGCAATGGGTTACTTGATTCACCCTGTTCGCGAAGAGTTTGCTTGATCCGATATACCCGAATAGGATGGTTTTTTTCACAAATAATTATGAATTTGTAGACAGGTCAAATAGGGTCGTATCCTCAGAAATTGGGGATATTTGTCTCTTTAGAAATCCAAAGTAACACAGGGGGTGTTTTTTTTATAAAGGGTGGCAATTAAAACAATTCAACTAAGAGTAAAATAGCCAACTAAAAATTAAATGACAATTCACTAAAAACAAGGTAATAATAATTAAAAGTCTAGCCAAGAAATAACTTCAACAATGATTCACCTACATGATCAGCGATGCACTAGCAATTCCAATTATTTATTAATAAATAGGTTATAACTGCCAAACAAGCGATGACAGTCAACCCCTCCTTACTGTGTCGGTGATTAAGGTACGCCCGTTAATCAATACTCTAATTGAGAAATAATCCTACGTATGCCCATAAGATTTAATTCTCCAATTGCCTTACGTATTAGAGGAGTTCTATTCTAACCAAATAACGCACTACCAGGGTTATTTTAGATTAGCCCGCGTATTCCCTGGCACAAGTCTAATTATGCCAGTTGTCACTATTTTAAGGCAATTAAACAATTACGGATTTAATGCCTTAATTGACAATAGATTATCGAGTTAACTAATTATCCAGATCCAAAACAATCAATTAATTAAATAATCACAAGTACTGCAATCAAAGAATATGCGAATACCAATAAATAAAAGAAAAAGATAAAATTAAATTGATCTCATAATTTTTAGGTAAATCAAAACCTCGGTTGTTCCTTGACTAGAGTGAGGAGATTAGTTCATTTTTTATGAGAAAAAGCCATACGAAATTGAAACAAAAGCTGCGGCCATCTTCTACGTTTGGGAAATTTCAATTTGCTTCAAACGATGATAGGAAGCGAAAACTGCCTAGAATGATTAAATCCTTCAATTGTTCCAGCATACGCGGCAGGAGAACCACAAAGGACGAAAAGCCAACGTCAAATAGAAAAGCTACAGGGAATCATTCAATTGTGCTAATTGACATACGAGAATTGAAGCTAAGCAAAAGCCAACCAAGGAAAAGTCAACAAAAGCAACTCCAAAAGTATTCCTATCTAAAAGTCTACTCTCATGCCCTGTGCGGCGCCCCCAGCCGAGAGAAAAACTTCAGCCCTCGTTCCGTCCTTGCCTTCGCAGAAATTACCCAACTAGGCGTACTGTCTTATTTTCCAAAAATGCCCCTGGATAAACTCTATCATTTGGACTCCTTTTCTGTTAAATTGGTACCCGTTATCATATTTTCATTTTACTTCCTGAAATAAATACAAAATACTAAAAGTGAGTAGAATCCAACAATTAATCCACGTTGGATTAGGCAATAGGGGAAATTAATAATAAAATAAATAATAAAATCGCAACCTATCAAAAAGATTTACCTTAAAGTTTTTATCGACATGAAATGGTGATATTAAAATTCTTTTATCATTTGGTTTGTTTTAGGAATCAGATAGGGGCAATATAGGATATTCACTGTATTTTTTGTGCTTAGTTTCTAGGAAAGGTTTCTGTAATTTTCCTAACTTCAAGGGAGATGGTTCTGATTGTTAAAAACTTCTAGGGAAGTTTTTTAAATTATCCCATGAAAAAAAAGAGGACGAAAGAAAGATGCATTTATTTTGTACTTTGTCCAAATATGGAGAGCTTACGTATTTTTCAACCTGAAGTGATTAATATCCCTGTTGTTCAATTTATATTGACTATATTTATAATTTAAAACTTCTCAGATTAACTTATTGAATCAATTTATAACGACTATATATATTTCTTGGCTTCATACCCTTCTAATCAAGGAAAGCTATTCTGATCAGTTGCTGATAGGAACCTAACAAACAATTGAATTTTTCCTTCAAGTTCGCAGCATTACTTTCCAAATTTGCCTCTTTCAGAGTTTTCTAGGTCGTCAAATATGGCATATATGCCTTGGTCATTTATATTTTTTTAAAGTATTGCAGCGATAGAGACATAAGCATTTCCTGGCCTCTATACCACTACAGCACTAACACCTGCATGAATGCTCGTTATCATCGCCAAAGACAGCATGCTCTTGCGGATGAATAAAATTGACAAGAACTAACTGGTAAATTCGTCAACGTGTTAAATGCATATTCTGATCCTGTGCCTTGTGGATTACAAATTCTCCGAAATTATGGTCAAAAATTTATTTCTTTACCCAGAAAAGAGGCAAAAAAAAACATTGAATACAACGACTTGATTGAAGCATCTCCTTTTCCTTCTCAGTCGGCAGACTCAGTTAACATCTGCATCCTGCAGTATTACATTTAGAACTAATTTCACATTCTACTTCTGAACTTGTGATACCTTTTCACTTTACACCATAAACTTTAATTTTAAATATTTTATTTCCTAAATTCACAATTTGAGATAATTTGCACCTTGAACTCTTAAATTTATCCTATCTAAGCCTAATAAATAACAAAGTTAGCAAATTTAACAGAACAGAGAATCATACAAACTAATGACAATGTATTGAAAGTGGTCAATAGCAGCAAAATGATTGTAACTAAAACAAAATGATATATTGCCATTAATTTGTATTGCCTTTTGTCTTATTAATTTTGCTAACAATGGGATAAAGTTTTGACCAGCTTGTTCTAGTTGTGATCCCTTTGGTTCTTTTGATTACTTTCAGCATATTATCACTAATTTGTATGATCTTTTATTCCGTTAATTTTGCTAACTTTATTATTAATTAGACTTAAGTGAAACAGGCTTGAGAGTTTAAAGTGTAAAGTGTCTAAAATTGCGAGGTTAGGATTCAAAATTTAAATTTGGGTTGCAAAGTAGAAAAAATAGAAGAAGTTTGGAGGAAGGAAGTGGAGTTAATCCTTGTATTTAGTGGGCTTTACTTTTCTCTTGATTTCGTTTTCGTGGCTGCTGAAAACATTGACAAGCTTTCTTTCACAAATTTTCAGACATATAAAATAGAAAACACCATCCTCGTACCGTGGAGGTTTTCTAAAAGATTACTTTTACGTCCAGAGCCTAAAATCCTTAGCCGATCAAAGACAAAATTACGAGGAAGTTTCCTAGAGTTTTGAGGGTTATAAAGGCACTAAGATACTTCACGGGCAACAAAGCAAGAGACTTAAAATTCTTATCTTGTTTTTCCACAAACCAAGGCAATCATTCTCTTTCCTTACTCAGCAAAAAAATTGATCTCCAAAAGTCAGGTACAATACAACCAGTTACAACTTACAATGGAGAGGGTACTATCATCTCTTCTCCCCATGCAGCCCCCGACGTATGGAAATCTAATCACAATCCTTAGCATAGATGGAGGTGGCATTAGAGGACTGATTCCTGCCGTAATCCTTGAGTACCTTGAATCTCAACTTCAGGTGACTTTCAAACTATATACATGCATACATATATGTGTGTGTATGCATACATATATATATTTGCAGATTTCAGTATTACCGTTTCTAGTGATTAAGTGTCTTTGCTTCTTGTTTTAGAAGAGCAGTTCGATCCTCACCCGTCCTATCTCCCTTCCTTCTTCTTCTTTCTCGGCCCAAAAAAAAAAATATGCTCATGTACCTTATCTCAATCCGAGGAGAAATTTTATGCACTATCATTTGATGTATAGGAGCTGGACGGGGAGGATGCAAGACTTGCAGATTACTTTGACGTGATAGCAGGAACAAGCACAGGTGGCTTAATAACTTCCATGTTAGCCGCTCCAGATGAAAACAAGCGTCCTTTATTTGCTGCTAAAGACATCAAGCCCTTTTATCTTGAAAACGGCCCTAAGATATTCCCCCAGAAGTGGTAATCTGTTCTCTTTTTTTTTTAATTTTTCCCTCTTTTCCTGATAATACAAACTTATACTACTTGATCTTATCTCAGTTAAATGGCTTCCAAAATTTCAATTACAGGGGCAGACTCGCATCAGTAAGAAGTGCTTTGAATGCTTTGTTCGGACCCAAGTATGATGGCCAGTATCTTCACCAAGTTGTGAGGGAGAAACTGGGCGAGATTCGGTTGCATGAAACCCTGACCAATATCGTCGTTCCAACTTTTGATATCAAGAATTTGCAGCCCACAATTTTCTCAACTTATGAGGTCTCTCTCTGTATGCGGACTAGAAGTGAAACCTTATCCTATCACCGGGAAAAAAGAAAAAAAAAATAGTTGAACAAATCAATCTGTTGACGGTTAGGTTTGACATTTCTGACTGACAACTGCTACCCGTTAAGCGGCAATATTTTAGTGTTTATTAGTCACGCCTTTGCTTTTCACAAGTTAACAATCTTCTTGTTCCTTCAAAAAAAAAAAAAACATTAAACAAAAAACTAATCTTTCTGTTAAATTGACTGTGGAAGATTTAAATTATGAGAACCCGAAGGCCTTTGAAGTCCAATTAACTTTAGTATTATTGGGGAGATTTATTCACGACCTTGGACTTAACCCCCATGAGTAGTGGCTATAGTCAATTATTCACATATTGCAACAAGCGCATGGTTCCAAAGTCTCAACTTTTTTGAGCAAACTTGCCCGACCACTTTAGACCTTAATCATGCATCAATTATTATGTAGTACTACAGTTAAGACTCAAAGCACAGGGTAGGACAAGAACATATCCAACCTTAGAATTTTCGAATTTGTAATATGCCTTAGCATTTGAATTGGGATTTTGACTTCTACTCCCAACCATATGCATGCAGGCCAAGGAAAAGAAATCCATGGATGCTCGTCTATCCGACTTATGCATCAGCACGTCTGCAGCTCCAACTTATCTTCCTGCATATTACTTCCAGAATCACGATGAACTCGGAAATGTTCAAGAGTTCAATCTTATCGATGGTGGTGTTGCCGCAAATAATCCGGTATGGCCTTCGATCTACTCACGATTATTAAATTTCGAGATTCCCTCTACCTATATATGCTGGATTACAATTTTTGCATTAGAATATACAACATGCCAGTGATTTATTTCTAATTTGCAGACGGTTTAGTACATACATATATTATATACAGTGGAAAATTAAATGCGAAAATTTTATAATGGACTTTGTAATAGACCAGTGACAGGTTGTTAAGGATCATAAAAACTATCACATTTACATATTGCCCCATTTACTGCCCAAGACCTGACAAAGAGAAAAAGGGAAAAAATTAAAAATTAAAAGAAAATGAAAACATTGATTGATATATGATGCGACTGCCGAAGAGAAGGTCCGACCTGGCCAGATGCGTGGAGGGCGAGCTGAGCGGTCTGACCTGCACACAGGCGAGCTGCGGGGCTAGGTCCCCTGTAGCAACTCCGACGATCAAGTCAGAAGAAGATTCGTAAGTAAAGAGTAGTGCTTGTGCTGTGAATAGCGTACCTTGTGCCTCTCTTTTGTGTAGTATTTATAGATGCTCAGGTAGTAGCTTCCTGGTAGGACAAGGTGTCCTTACTGGAGTGAATGACTCCTAGGGCTCCATGACACAAGCCTAAGGATGCGGACCTCGCAGCCCATCAGGCCCCTACGCCTGAGAGGCGGCGCCTGCATGGGCCGACCTGAAACCGTGGCCCATCACCTCCAGTCCGAGCTCGTGGGTCGGACTGGGCTGTTCGTGGCCCGGGCCGATGTGCGTCTGGGCCCCACTACACTAGCCCCCCCTCTAGTCTAGAGTCATCGACTGTGCGCGTGAGTCTAGCCGTCTTTCTGGCATCGCGTCAGCTCGGTGTGGGGCCCCTGTCTAAGAGTGGTGCACGCAACCGTCGCGTCGGTTCGCGTCAGTCACCTCGATCGTCACGTCCGCCAGCTACGACGGTTAGGAACGGTTTCCCATAACGGTTCAAATAAATGCACGTCCCTTCATCTTCCCGCCTTGTGAGTTGTCTATAAATAGGCTTCTTGGGCGTCATTTTCACACCCCTTCCTTCATTTTGTCAGTTCGCTCCTCCCCTCCTTAGTTCGCTGTTTCACTTTCTTTCTTTCGAGAGCACGTCGGATCGCCCAGCTTTAGGAGTCCAGAGTCAGTTCGCGCTATCCTTAGATCAGCCTTTCATCCGATCTCCTCCCATCAGTAAGTTCCCCTTTTCCTTTTTATGTCTTCTTATAGTTCTGATAGTTCTGACGTCACCAGCTCAGCCCCTAGGCATAGGACGTCTAGCCCCATATTCTTAGATAGCAGCTCCTCCGATTCCTTTAGTTCTTCCCCTTCAATTTCATTTGGGCCAATACCCGCGCCTTCTTCCGTCCAACCTCCTGTTAGAGACATGAGCCCAGTGGAGCGACCTGCCCAGCCCCTAGTTGGAGCTGCTGAACAGGCAGCTCCGATCCAGACGGCAGCAGGGACCTCGGGAGGACCTAGTGGCGACTTCGGAGAGGTCGACACTATCCCCCCAGCCCTGGAGCAAAAGGACGTAGACGTGCTGGTAGAAAAGTACGAAATCCCAGCCCATTTTGAACCTAGGGCTGCCCACCCAGGAGAGGTCGCCAGCCGACCTCCTCCCGGGTTCGTGGCGATCTACAGGGACCAGCTAATGGCTGGCCTTCGCTTGCCTATCCCTGATTTCCTTTTCTTTATCCTCACTTTCTGGGGCATCCGCATAACCCAGGTCATTCCCAATGGCGTCCGCTCCATCATAGGTTTCTTTATCCTATGCCGTGCCTTAGAAATCCCATTTTCTCACGACCTGTTCCTCTTCCAGATGAAGGTCAGCGGGAAGGTGCCTGGGTGGTTCTATTTTGCCCGCAGAAGTGGAGCAAAAACCCCCACCCGTGAACTGTTCACGGGAGCACCTTCCTCAATTAAAGACTGGAAGCGTTACTTCTTCTTTGTGAAGAACCTGGGCTTCCCCCCTGACCTGGAGGGCGGAGTCTCAGGTCTCGGATCCACTTCCGTCCCCGCTCCCTGTGAACGAGCTCAACCGGCTACTCAGCTCGGAAGAGAAACTGGAGGTGAAAGAGTTCAGCAATGCCCAGCTTTGGGCGGCGGGGCTGATCCGAGCTAATACCTCAGATCCCTCGCCTGAAAATAAATCCTTATCGCCGGACGAGCTGACAGCCTGTAATCGACCTGGACCTCAGTCTTTCCTTTCTTCCTCTTTTTTTTTTTTTTAATGCATCTACTGACCTTCTGATCTTCTTCATGTGCAGTGAAGAGATTTTCTTCACTTCTGACCATCGGAGGCGCCAGCACTCCGGGCACCACCCCGCAGCCCTCCGCAGCCATCCCGGCCAGCTCGGCTCCGGTTCCACCGCTCCAGCCAGCTCCTGCCCAGTCCTCTAAGCCCGTAGAGGCTGAAAAAAAGAAGAAGAAGAAAACGACCGCCAAGAGAGCCAGGGTGGAGACGACCTCGTCCCCAGCTCAGGAAGAGAGGCCGACGCCTGAGCCCGGTCAGGACGTCCACTACGGTGTGAACACCGCCGAGGAGCAAGCCCGGGCCGGAGCTCCTCCTAACCTGTGGCAACACCGGAGCTCTACCCTGCTGTTCGACCCGCAGACGCGGTTGGTCACGCACCAACATCCAATGCACTTCTGTCCCCAGTGGAGGCTCTCCATAAACGATCGGGCCCAATTTCCACATGTAGCCAGGGAGCTCGCCCACGGGGCCATCCTACCGCGAGACTTCAACTTGGTTAAGGCCATGGAGTCGTCCGACCTCCTCGACTACTATTACACAGGCGCGGCTCAGGTGAATGTGGTCGGGTCCGAGCTGGCAAAGCGCTACGAGAGCCTGCTCCCCCTGATGAGCGAAACAAAGGCTGCCAACGAGAAACTGCTAAGCCAAAACGAAGCAGCCGTGGTCGAAACTGAAGGTTTGAAAAAGCAGCTCGCCCAGGCGCATTCAAGCTTCGAACTGGAGCTGAAGAAAAACTCCGACCTGTCCTCCCAGCTGAAGGAGGAGCAGAGAAAGAGCGCCGAGTTGTCTGCTCAGATCGAGGCGGCCAGGGCCGAAGGTCGCCAAGAGGGAGTACGGACCTATCTCAGGTCGACAGACTTTACGAATGACCTGGCTGCCCTGAACACCCCCGTGCTCCATCATGGGTACTCCCTGGCCCTGAAGGAGGTGCAAGAGCTGGGTCTGCCTGGATTCGACCTGGGAAAGTTCACAAGCTACAACCCCCAGGCTATCGAGCAAGTGGACCGTCTGGTAGAGGGCTACACGCGTGGGCGCAAGCTGGCCGACCTGGTGGCGGACCCCCTACTGCCTGTGACCACCCCCGAATCCGAGCAGGAGGAAGAAGAGGGGGAGAACTAGAGTAGGTCGTAGGATAGGCCCCGAACTGTTGGCAGGCAGTTCTTTTTGTACGAGCCTTGCTCTGCCCCCGCTCAATTTCTTTTGTGTGAGCTCGGCTCCCTTTTGAACAGTTTTGATGAATTCAATGAAAAGCCTTTTGCATAATTTTGCTTCATACTTAGTTTTATTCGACAAACTTTGTCACAAGATACACCCGTTCGGCCCGATACCGACCTAAACGAGCTACTCTAAGACAGAATAACTTGTTAACGAAATACATCAACATTAATCGAAGTTTTGACCTTTAGCCGAACTGTCATGTGCGAGCCTAACGAAAAATCCTCAGGTTGGAATTGTGCCAAGTACGAGGGACCTCTTCCCCGCTGAGGTGAGCTAACCTGCAGTATCCAGCTCGGTCTGCTTCTTTCACCACATAGGGTCCTTTCCAATTTGGACCCAGCTTGCCAGTGCCCTGAAGCCGACTTACGCTGTTCTTTCTCAGGACCAGGTCCCCTGGCTTAAAAGCCAGAGGCTTTACCCTAGCATTGTAGTGTCGCGCGATCTGTCCCTTATACTTGGCCAGGCGTATAGCTGCTTCTTCTCTCATTCCTTCCAGCAAGTCCAGGTTAAGACGCAGCTCCTCTTCATTGTCCTGAGCTATGAAGTTCTGAACCCTGTTCGAAGGAACACCTATCTCCGCCGGGATCACAGCCTCTGCTCCATAGGTCAGCACGAAAGGAGTCTCCTGAGTAGCAGTTCGGGGAGTGGTTCGGTAAGCCCACAGTATGGTCGGCAGTTCGTCCAACCACCCAGTTCGGGCGGACTCCATCCGTGTCTTTAAGCCGTGCAGTATGGTCCTGTTGACGTTTTCGACCTGGCCGTTTGCCTGAGGGTGGCCTACCGAGGTGAAGCGCTGCCGGATTCCGAGCTCCGTGCACCAACCTTGAAGAGCAACGTCAGCGAACTGGCGTCCGTTGTCTGAGACCAGGACATGGGGTATACCAAATCGGCAAACGATGTTCTTCCAGAGGAACTTCTGCACCGATCTGCTGCTAATGGTGATAAGGGGCTCGGCCTCCACCCATTTGGTGAAATAGTCTACAGCCACAACCACATGCTCATAACCCCCTGGAGCTCGGGGAAATGGACCCAACAAGTCGATTCCCCATTGGAAAAAAGGCCAAGGGCTCTGAAGAGGGATCATCTCCTGAGTCGGGGCGTGATGGATCGGCGCATGCAGCTGGCAGGACTTGCACCGAGTTACCAGCTCAATCGAATCCAAGAACATGGTCGGCCAGTAGTAACCAGACAGCATTCCTTTCTTGGCCAAAACCCTCGGGCCGACGTGGTTTCCACAGATGCCCTCGTGCAGCTCACGCAGGATGTAGTGTCCCTCTTCCGGAGTAATGCACCTCAGCCACGGGCGTAGGTAGGATTTCCTGTAAAGCACCCCATTCGAGAGCTCGTATCCCCGCGACCTGAGGAGGACCCTTCGCGCCTCCACCCGGTCTTGAGGGAGCTCTCCACTAGCTAAACACCGTACAATGGGATCCATCCATGAGCTCACTATTTGAATAACAGACAAGTCCACCTGGTCATACGCCCGATTTCTGACGACTTCCACCAAGACTTCTTTGTTCAACGTACCAACCGAGGTGGAAGCTAGCCTGGACAGGGCATCCGCCCTCTTATTTTGGCTCCGAGGGACCTGCTTGAGCACGAATACCTTGAACTGGGCCCTTAGCTCATGCACTTTGGCGACGTACCTTTTTAGGGGCTCCTCCTTAACTTCGTAACTTCCCCCTACCTGGTTGACTATCAACTGTGAGTCGCTGTAGACTTCTATTGACTCAGCCCCCAACTTCCGAGCTATCACCATCCCTGCGACCAGGGCCTCGTATTCGGACTCGTTGTTAGAGGCCCTGAAATCAAACCTCAGGGCATAGGCCAACTCATCCCCCATAGGGCTAGTCAGGAGGAGCCCTGCTCCGCATCCTTCCTTGCTTGACGACCCATCCACGAACAGGGTCCAGACTGGAATGATCTGATCAATTTCGCCAGTGGCCTGTTCGATCTCGACAGCCTCTTCGGCATGTTCAGCCTCTGCTGCTTCTCCGATCTGTCCGGCCTGAGCTCCCTTTGTGGCCTGCCCGACCTTGACATGTCCCTCCGCCTGCTCGGCCTCGAAAGCCTTGGTGGCTCGCTCGACCTGGGCAGCTTTTTCGGCCTGCTTGGCCTCTGCCACGCCTTGGGTCGTTCGGGACTGGGTGGTCTGTGTGGCCTCGACAGCTTCTCCGACCTGCGGGGCCTCGGCTGTGTCTCTGGTTCGTTTGACCTGTGGTTCCGGTTGTCCGAAGGAGACCCCTTCGGCTATGAAATCTGCCAATGCTTGGGCCTTAATGGCCGTGCGAGGTTGGTAGCCGAGGTCGTATCCGGACAGCTCCATGGCCCACCTCACCATTCTCCCTGAGGCGTCAGGCCTTGAAAGAATTTGCTTGAGTGGCTGGTCGGTCATAACCACCACAGGGTGAGCTTGGAAATATGACCTGAGCTTCCGAGCCGCGTGAACTAACGCCAAGACATATCGCTCAATCGAGGTGTACCTTGTCTCCGCGCCCTGCAGAGCTCGGCTGACATAGTATATAGGCTTCTGGACTTTTCCTTCTTCCCGAACTAGTACCGCACTGATCGCCTCCTCCCCTACTGCTAGATAGATAAATAAGGTTTCTCCATGCGCAGGAGAGGTCAAGGACGGCAATCGCGCGATGTGGGCTTTCAGCTGGTCAAACGCTTGCTGACACTCGGGGGTCCACTCGAACTGAGGGCCTCTTCGCAGGGCCCTGAAGAAAGGGAAACCCCGAACTGCAGATTTCGACAAGAACCTGTTCAAGGCCGCCATCCTGCCAGCTAGCCGTTGAACCTCTTTTATGCTTCGGGGAGAAGCCATGTCCATGATGGCTTTTACCTTGTCGGGGTTAGCCCTTACTCCGTCTTTTGATATCATGTATCCAAGAAACTTGCCCGACCTGACCCCGAAGGTGCACTTCTTGGGATTTAGTCGCATCCGCGAGCTCCGTAGGACGTCAAAGATCTCCCTGAGGTCGTCGACGAACTGCTCCTGAGTTCGGCTTTTCACCAGCATGTCATCCACGTATACCTCCATGTTTCGGCCGATCTGGTTTTTGAACAGCTTATTGACCAGCCGCTGATAGGTCGCGCCTGCATTTTTCAAGTCAAATGGCATGGTGGTATAACAATACGTACCGTATTCGGTGATGAAGGCAGTCTTCTCTTGATCCTCCTCAGCCAGAGCTATCTGGTGATACCCTTTGAAAGCATCCAGAAAGCAGAAGATCTCGTACCCAGTTGTTGAGTCGACCAGCTGGTCGATGCGAGGGAGAGGGTAGCAATCCTTCGGGCAAGCCTTATTCAGGTCGGTGAAGTCCACGCACATCCGCCAAGCCTTGTCCTCCTTTTTGACCAGCACCGGGTTGGCCAGCCAGGTCGGATAGTGGATCTCTTTCACAATTCTAGCCTCCAACAGCTTGCCCACCTCTTCTTTAACGACCTCGTTGCGTTCAGGTGCAAAGTTTCTCTTCTTCTGTTTCACTGGCCGGATGCTCGGATTCACATGCAGCTTGTGGACTGCCAGTTCGGGAGGAACTCCTGGCATGTCATCGGCACTCCAAGCAAAGATCTCGGCGTACTTCTCCAGGAGGGACTCCAGGGCCCTCCTTACCTGCTCGTTTAGTCCAGATCCCGCCTTAACCACTCGATCAGGTCGCTTGGGGTTGACAAGCAATTCAAGCAGATTTTCGTCCGTCTCCAACCTCTCCTCCTTCTCAGTAGGCTCCCAGGGCTCCAGAAGGACTGTCTGCGCCACCAGCTTCTCCTTACCCTTGAGGGTTGCAATATAGCAGGCTCGAGCTACCTCCGGGTCCCCCTGCACCTCGGCCACTCCCTCGGGAGTGGGGAATTTCATGCTGAGGTGTAAGGTCGAACAGACAGCTCGGAGTGCGTTTAAGGTTGGACGTCCCAATATCATGTTGTAGGAGGACGGCTCCTTTACCACCGCGAAATTCACCGAAACAGTTCGGCACCTTGGTGACTCCCCTATAGTGACCTGGAGGGTTATCATTCCCTCAGGCCTTACCGGCGGACCTGCAAAACCTATTAAGGGAGTATGAACTGGGATGAGCTGCTTATCTTCCAGCTGCAGTTCTCTGAAGGCCTTGTAGTACAACACATCGATAGCGCTCCCATTGTCAATGTACACCTTTTTTACCTTATAGTTACACGTGACGACTTCTATCACTATTGCCTCGTGGTTATTGGAAGCTAAGGGTACCGCATCCTCCGGCCCATAGACGATCTCCTCGTACATCTTTAAGCGCTTGTTTGAGCTCTCCCCACTGGGGGGAGGTCTGTTATTTCGCCGAGCCGAATGGCTATCCCCTCCAGCAGGTCCCCCTGCAATAGTGTTGATTACTCCCGCCAGATTCGGCACCCCACGTACCGGAGTCCGCTCCCGAGGACCCCGAGGTCGGTCGTGCGAGCTGGACGCCCGATCTCGTTTGAATCCTCCCTGCTTCTGATCAGTTCGCCCCTCGCGGACGAACTGGCCAAGATGACCCCTCCGGATCAGCTTTTCAATTTCCTTCTTAAGGTGGCGGCAGTCTTCAGTGTCGTGCCCCACATCCCTGTGGTACGCACAGTACAGGTCCTGATCTCTCCTGTTTCTATCCCCGGCCAAGGGCCGGGGAGGTCGGGAATGTCCCTCTTGCTCCATCACCGCGAGGACCCGAGCTCGGGGAGCCGTGAGGGAAGTCCAAGGCTTGTCCCCCCCTAGGGGTCGGCCTCTAGGCGGGTGGTCATAGGTAGGCTTCCGCCCTTGGTCACGTCGAACGTCTTCTTGGTCGGTTAATTTTCGGCGCTTGTCGTCCCTCTGCCTCTCCTGAGCGCTCTTCAAGCGATTAGCCTCTTCAGCATTGGCCTTCTCATGAGCTCGATCCAGCATCTCCCTAACTGACTTGGGCGGTCTCTCCACGAGCTCGGTGTATAACTTCTGCTTCCGTAGCCCGTTAATGAAGGCAGCCATGACCACCTTGTCATCTCGGTCACGGACCTGGAGGGATTCGTTATTGAACCGCACCATGTATTCACGCAGTGATTCCTCGACCTTTTGTTGGATGGTCATAAGGTGAGCGGTGCTTTTAGAGAAGGCTCGTGAGGAAACGAACTGTGCCGAGAATGCTCGCGCGTGCTGGGTGAAAGAGCTGATCGATCTGGGGGGAAGCCCCTGAAACCACTGCCGAGCCCTTCCTTCTAGGAACATCGGGAAGGTCTTGCACCTGACCGCATCCGCGGCCGTTTGTAAGCGCATCTGCGTCATGAATACGAACAGGTGGTCTTCCGGATCCGTGGTGGCATCGTAAGGTTTCATGGTTGGAATTTTGAACTTCGCGGGCAGTTGGTATTCCTCGATGTCAAGCACAAAGGGGGAAGCAATGTACCTCTCCGCCTCCGGGTCGAGGATTAGGTCAAGCTCGTCCCGTACCTGTTGTCGCTCCCTCCGGGGGGAGAGCCTCCGGACGGGCTCCGGATGTTCAGTTCGGGAATTCTTGTGAGATGGCTCTACAACCTCGACCTGCTCACGCGTGAGTTCCCGATGCGTCCGCTTGGCCCCGTGATTGGGACTCCCAGTTCGGGACCCTGACAGGTCGGCTCCTTGTACCTTAGGCTCCTTGTCGGAATGACCTCCCGACTGCCCTTTGAGGTAGTCCATGATCGCCTCGAAGGTGGGCAGGTTTGCTGCCACCGTCTGCACCAGCTGTTCGGGTGGGATCCGTGAGGGCCCCGCCCCTGCTCCTTCAGGTGTCGGATGAGAGTTTTGCGGGCCGCTTCGCTCCATCCCTTTGGATCCACCAGCGTTCCTTTGAGACCTAGTTTTCGGCATGATTCGCGAAGAGAAGTAACGTGTTCCCACAGACGGCGCCAATTGATGCGACTGCCGAAGAGAAGGTCCGACCTGGCCAGATGCGTGGAGGGCGAGCTGAGCGGTCTGACCTGCACACAGGCGAGCTGCGGGGCTAGGTCCCCTGTAGCAACTCCGACGATCAAGTCAGAAGAAGATTCGTAAGTAAAGAGTAGTGCTTGTGCTGTGAATAGCGTACCTTGTGCCTCTCTTTTGTGTAGTATTTATAGATGCTCAGGTAGTAGCTTCCTGGTAGGACAAGGAGTCCTTACTGGAGTGAATGACTCCTAGGGCTCCATGACACAAGCCTAAGGATGCGGACCTCGCAGCCCATCAGGCCCCTACGCCTGAGAGGCGGCGCCTGCATGGGCCGACCTGAAACCGTGGCCCATCACCTCCAGTCCGAGCTCGTGGGTCGGACTGGGCTGTTCGTGGCCCGGGCCGATGTGCGTCTGGGCCCCACTACAATATACAAGTTTGATAAATGGATTACATGAATAATTTGGCATCGATTTCTTTGGTGCGGCAGGCTTTGGTTGCAATAAGCCAAGTAACTAAACAGATCTTCCACGGAAATCCAGATTTCTTCCCAATTAAGCCCATGGATTATGGCCGTTTTCTAGTGATTTCAATAGGCACAGGATCAGCAAAAGTTGAGCAAAGATACAATGCAGCAAAGGCTGCCAAATGGGGTGTTTTCGGGTGGTTAATTAGCGGTCATTCCACTCCCTTAGTGGATGTTTTCACGCAAGCCAGTGCAGATATGGTTGATTTGCACATTTCTGAAGTCTTCCGAGCTCTTCACTCTGAAGATAATTACCTTCGCATTCAGGATGATACATTGATCGGGACGGTTTCTTCGGTTGATATTGCAACAAAGAAGAATTTGGACAACTTGGTTATTACAGGCACCCAACTGCTGAAAAAACCCGGTTCTAGGGTCAATCAGCAGACTGGTTCAGTTGAGACAATAGCAAATGGCGGTACGAATGAGGAAGCTCTAAAAAGGTGTGGACTCAATCTTGCAACTATTAATTTCACCAATAATGTTATTCTTTCAGTCATATAATTGAGGCTTTAATTCTCTTCACCAGTTTTCTTGCTACAAATTATTAGTCTATCAAAAGAATGTTCTTTTTTTTTTTTTTATCAAAGGCTTGAGCATCTAGCTCCTTCACGCACAAAAACTACTCAGCAATTCAATATATCTAATTTGTGCAATATTGTAACCGGGCTCAATTTCTCTAATCTTCCAACCTTGAGTAATTTTTGTAAAGTATGACTCATTTGTCTTCCCATCTGTTGTAGGTTCGCAAGGCTGCTTTCTGAGGAAAGAAGACTACGGGAGCTTAGATCTCCTTTAACCAGCAAAACTGCAAAACCTCCACCCCTCACTTAATCATGCAATGCCAAAAACGATCCATTTTATTTTTTACCCAACTTTGTCAATCCAAGTCATTTCTTCTTCTTCTTCTTCTTCTTTTTTTTTTTTTTTTTTGGTCTCTGTACCTCAATTTCTTCATCCTTAAACAAACTCCCCCAGCATATTCCTCCAATATTACATAAATAAATGTATCTAAGCACCCTTTATTTTGTTCAAGAATAAAGTGAAGTGTAAATTTCTGTGGATGTCAACTTTCAAATTTCAACTGTAAGCCAGATACTAAATTTCCTCTTGTTATCCGACTCTATGTTGGTCTGAGTTGAAATTCAGGAAAATGAGTTTGCTTCTCCTTCAACGTTGCAAAAATTGTATTGAGTCTCTAGACACATTAAAGTTAGTGTAAACCTGGAAAGATACAAGTAATGAAATTGATGCATGCCCAAAAAAATGCAACTATCATTCATGAGCAAATTTTCCCCAGCGAAAAAATTAAGAAAGCAAAATCAATTTATACTCCACCGGATCCGATAAGCCAGAATCTAAGAAGCCAGTTGTAACATTAAAGAGGAGATTGAAATACGAACTTCAAAACCTCTACCCTAGTCTGTGCATTCTGTTTTCGTTTTCCATAGGCAGATAATCAAAAAACAAAATAATGTTTATGCATTATTGAACAAGAAATATATAACTCCAATTTTATGAGCTCTAATAAAAGTTTGCAAATTTGTAGATTTGACGTGATTAAATGATGGCAAAAAATATGTGTGGGAGAGAGAAAAGAGAAGAATAAACTCAATTACAACGTATTTTAAATTAGAAAGAACGTCTCACGCGACAATAAAGACCCCAATATTTTAAATTTCTATGAACTCTCCATAAATTCATCTTTAGACTGAAATACTCCAATTAATACCCTTTTTTTACGTAACCAGACTTAGTGGATAACAAAACAGCCACACAAATAATTATTAAACAAACAACTCAATCACATAAAAAAACTACCAAATAACTTGAATGTAATGAAACAATTAGAAGTAAAAAGAAATATTTTTCTGAACTTGGTTCACTTTGCTAACAGGAAAGCTGAACCATATTGGGCAAAGCCAAATTCGTCGAGGACTGTGAAGGTATCTTGTGGCGCGCTTCGCTTCCTGGAGTGTTTCCACCAACATATGCGACAGTCAAACAAGCAATTGAGGTTTAGTTAATTTAATTCAATAGCTCAGCAAGTAAGAGCATCGTAAGAATTAAACATGCCTTTTTGACTTTTTCTTTTTTAAGTCTAAAACCTCCTATTTACAATCCCAAACTTGGAAAGTAAACAGAACAGATATTTTCTCTGTTCCATTAAAAGTGTCATACTTTTCATTTTAAAATGTCCTGAAACATTTGTTATTTTGAAAAAGTCAAAGCACTTTTTAGTCTGTATTTTCAATATAATTTTTCTTTCTAATCATATGCATGCTACCATTCAAATTTAAATTCTGAATTTGTAAGGGTAAAATTGAAAGAAGAAACACAAATATCACAATCAAACCATTATTTTTAAAAAATTGGATTCTCTAAATATGATTAAATAAGTGGGACGAACGGGAGTATAGTGTATTGTCCTATGGTCCTAGAGGTATTGTCATGATTCGTTAGTGATAGCTGGAGTGGAACTTATTCAAAATTTTTCTCACCAAAAAAAAAAACAAAGATATAATATAGTGGGCTTTGTTAAATGCATCTCCTGTACCAATACCATATCTAGTGGGCTTTTACTTTTCTTTTGATTTCACTTTCGTGAGTGGCTGGCTGCTGAAAACGTTGACAAGCTTTTTGAACAAAATAAAAAAGAAGTATCACCCTCTGAGGTTTTCAGAAAAAAAAAAAAAAAAAAAAACTTTTGTGTCCAACCGATGCCAAACAAACTTTTATGGTGCAAGTTATATAATTTTTTATGCAATATTGAGGTAAAGTGAATATTGTTAATTTCCTTGTTGAATTTAATTGGAGAAATCCTAATCTTACATATATAAAGCGTGAATCGGCTTGTGAACAGTGAAAAATGGACCGGTTATCCCGTGGTTGTTGTGGCTTTGAGGGGCGTTTTGGTCTTTTGCTGATGGATGGCAGTGGCTCTGCTGGAATTTGATTCTGTCCGCGTGGCTTTCTTGGATTGTAACTTTGCGGGGCGTTCTGTCCGCGTGGCTCTCAATTTTGGCAGTCAGCAATTCATATTGGTTAGTGGGCGGTTGGGCGGTCAGCAACATCCTTTCTTTTCTCTTAGCTTTCTTCTTCTTCTTAGCTTCTATTCTTCTTCTTAGTTTTCTTTGGTAGCTTCAGAAATGTCTTGAAAAGTTCCTCTCATTCTCGGTCTTGTTTCCTCTGTTTCTTTTCTTGGCCTTTTTTACCAGGCGTGATTTGAGGAACGATGGAACCACCACCGCTTGAAAGCTCTGCAATCTCCATTGCCCTTTCTCGTTCATCTCTTGGCCTTCTCTACCAGTTTTTTTCACTCATCAGCTTCCTATTTAATTGTTCCCTTCAACGCGTCTTCCTCCATAATCTTATCTAGAAATCTACAGCAGAATGCCTCTATATTTTTCCTGCACGCACAACAAAAAGGTAAACACTTTTCCAATTAATCTCATCTCCGTAATTGCATTTTTTAATTGTTTTGCCTCTTTTTCTTATTATTTTTTGACTTTTAAGTGTTCTGGGTTTTATCATTGCATGGGTTTTCAATTTCATGTGAATGGTTGGATTTTTTCTTGAGTTGGGGTTGACTAAATATGTCATTACAGAAAGTGGAAAAGAGGGCGACGAAGGAGGAGAGCTCCTTCCATCGGCATTAGAGGGAGATTTACAGTTGCATGGGACATTGGAAACCACAAGGCTTCGATTGGAGTTCAAAGATAAATAGGAATTTTGGCGGTCGGCAATTTCCTCTCATCCTCTTCTTCGTTCTATTCTTGGTTTTAGGAGCACCGCTTCAGAGTTTTGGCAGCTGCTACTTTTTCTTATTCTTTTGTCGGTCTTGTTTCTTCGTTGTCGGTCTTGTTTCTTCGCCTTCTTTACCAGGTGTGTCTTTCCCGTTCCTCGCTCTTCTTCTGAGCTTTCTCTGGCCAGTGTTTTTTCCTTCCCCTGTTTTCCTATTGAATTTTCTACTAGATTGCAGATAATTCAGTCGAGGAAGAAGCGGTTGAATTGCGCATAAGTTTGCGCATCGGTGCATAGGTGTAACTATTACTTTTTTTTTTATTGGGATTTGTTTCTGGTTTGTTAAGTTGTGTTTTTCATCGGGGATTTGTTTCTGGTTTACTTGTTCTTCTTTGGCTGGATTAGATGTTAGATTTATTATATTCAATTAAATGTTAAATTGTGTTTTTCATTCCTTTTCTTCCGCATGGAATTCTTGGATGGGAGCAATTTTGGCAGTCAGCAATTTCGGCCTTGTTTCCTCTCTGTCTTTTCTTGGCTTTCTTTACCAGGTGTGCCCTGTTCTCTCACCATCGAAGTACACTGATACAATCGCCGCCCTTTCAATCACCTACTGAGAGATGACGCATTCCAGTTGAACACTCTCAAGGCACGCATGAAATAATCAACCGGATAGCTTTGCTTTTTCTTGCTGCTCTCTCTAAGTTGCTCTACACACTTTTCCAAACCCTCTGCCAATCCTCTCTTATGAGGGCTGCTTGAAGGTGGGTAAAAATATTTTGCTGGCACCAGGTGAAGTTAATTCTTGAGGCTTTAGCTTATTTCCTTCCTAGCCTGTTTTTTGCCCCAAAAATTTTGCCAAATTTGAAACCCAACCATAGCTAAAGTTGATAAGTTGATTAAACTTAATAACCGTCTTATTGTTTAGGGATGAAATTGATTTGTACCGTGACCTTTGTTATGTTTGGATTATTTATTCTATTTCCAAATTTTTTTTATTCTTTTCAATATGATTTAATAGAAAGCTTCAGTCATGGGTTCGGCCTAATTTTTTCAAATTTTGATCACTAGAATTACGGTTTACTTAGTTTTAAGTTTCCTAACAAATTTCTTGTATTATCTAAGAATTTAAGTAAAACTCATCTCCAGTATCTCTGATACTTCCAAGTGTGGTGTTATTCAGCTCAATAGTGGCTTCGCTCAAACTCCTCAGATGAGGTACAAGTTACATTCATAGTATCATCCTTTCTGGAATGCTTTTTTGTCTCTATCTAGCTATTGATATTGGTGGGAAGTCTGTCTATTGAAATATGGGAATGTATCTATAGTGTTGCTGGGAGACCATACGGAACATTTATAATAGGGCATTTTCCTTTGTTCAAATTTTGATAGATAACTAGCTGAACTTCCTAATTACTTCTCTGTTGGTTTCACTTTGTACACTCGGGTCTTCATGGAAAAATCTTTCTCAATACAAAAGGGGATATAGCATATATAGGTACATGCACATGTCTGTTTGTGAGGGCAGGGGGAAGGCATGCATGTGTGTGTGTAGGATGTTGGTGCGATTGATGTGTGGTGTACACCTGATTTCTTGATCTTTAATGCATTTTCCTATTAATCATGAGAAAAGATGTCAAAAAATAGCAATTGTTTGTGTAGATCTTATCTGACATATGTGAAGGAACTTATGATTTCTAATGCCTTTGGTAACTTGATATTTCTAAATAGGATCATATTTACATGGAATGCCAAATAAAGGTAGTAGTTTTATTGCACTCTGGTATGATTTGGGCTTCGTGGCCATTCTGTTATGAATGTTTACTGCAACAATTAAGATCATAATGCTTTTAACATTCTGCAGATTTACAGCATAACAGCTTACTTGCCAACTAGGATCAATCCTGCTACTACCACCAAAGCATGCAATTCATCGCCAGCTTCAAAATTGCTTATTTTAGAGAAGTAACGTCACTAATAAGCAAGGCTACACAGTACATGTATAGCCTGATGCCTTTTAGTTTTACCTAATCTTAGGCATTACTTACCGATTAATGCTACATTAAGAATGTTAAATGCCACGTTAAGAATGTTAGATAATCATGCCTTTTAGTTCTGCCTAATTTTAGACATTGCTTACTGATTAATGCTACATTAAGAATGTTAGATAACCCGATTTTAAGGTCATGTTTATCTGTGCAATTAGGAAAAAAAACACACACACACACACATGTCTACTCTATCTAACGAAGAAAAAAAACACACAAATATAACAGCAAAATAACGAGTCTTAGCTACCTGATGCATGGCATCAGGGCTTAAAAACTAGTAAAAGAATAAAAGCGGGAATGGAGTTAGGAACAGTGACTTTCGTCCCCATTGGCACCTTGGCTGTGTGATCATTTTTGGAATTTCACAGCAAAGGCTAAAGTGATGGTGAGGTCCTGATGAAGGATCGGTCGGCTGGGATTTGATATTGTGATGGCGTTTTACTATCCTACCCCTTGGTACCTATTTTGCCCCTTTATGAGGAATGCCAACATAGTATGAGTTATTGACTTTTTCGTCATTTCAGCCCATTAATTACTCGACAATTGGGATTCAAGTGCTAATGGTGCGCCCCCTCCAAAAAAGGAAAAAGTACTAATGGTGTGGTGCAATAGTGCTTTGTTGTGAGGCTTCTTCTGCTCGGTTTGATCATGGTTCAAAAACCTACACATCACCAGTAATCATAAAAGAAATAGAGCGGTGTTCGGCATTTGGCCATTGTCTTCTGCTGCGGAATTCTATCAATGAGCTGTGCACTATTGCAGTAAATGCAATTGAAATTCCTCCTAAAGTCGCAGAATCAGTTCATAAAAATTCGATGGTAAACCAATTTTCTGTACATTGCGAACAACAGAGTGAATAAATAGCATATGCTTAGATTGAAAGGCCATGTATCTTTACAATGTGGCAACAATTTTCCGGATTGAAAGGAAAAATATCTGCTAAACATCTTGATTGAATAGCCATCAATGATAGTTACCAGTGCCCATCTATCTATTATCTTTTCAATATCAAGTCTTGTGGCTCAAACTCAAAGAACCACCGGAATGTTATTTGAGCCATGTTCCTGAAGGCATTGCAAAGGCCAGATATCCAATATGCGTTCCCTCTTGCATTCATGGGGAACAACAATAAACCAGCTCACTATAGTAGAGAAAAAGACCTTTATATTAGCTTCATCTATTGCAGTAAATGATTTCTAAATCACATGTACCATCACTGGTTTGTTTAGGCATAATCGCGTAAGTATATGAACTAGACGTATAACTGAATCATTTAAGATCCGAACATCCTTTGATTTTTCCTTTTTCACCACCTATTCTCTCTAATGTTCTCTTTCAATATAACAAATTCTATCCAACAACTATCATACATATACATATTGGATACAATAGAAGTACACTGCCTGGGCAACCTCACGCAACGCGTGAGGCCCAATCAACTAGTTCTTCTAACCAATGTGATTATTTTGGTCCAGAACCGACAGCAGCTCCAGATGAAAACAAGCGTCCTGTTTTCGCTGCTAAAGACATCGAGCTCTTTTATCTTGAAAATGGTAATCTCGGTGCATCTTTTTTTCCCTCTGTATCGTTGTAGGGGGGACGCGAATGTTGATAACTTCTATAAACGGCTTCCAAACTTTCAATTGCAACGCCAGCAGGAAATTAAGAGAAAAATGCAATCTTGGTACTTAAATTTTGTTATCTGTGAGCGCTTTTAGTCTCCGAACTTTGGACAAAAATAAACCTGGTATCCAATCTTTTAAGTTTTGAGCACATTTAGTACCTTTAACGAAATTTTCGCAAATTACTATCGGAAAAAGTCACGTGATAGTCACATATCCGGTAACTATTGTGTAAAAAGAAATGTAGTCCTTGAACTCAATACTTAGTGTCAGAAGGATATTTTACATTTTTTAGCATTTTTAACATAATAGTTGACAGACATGTGACTATGACATGACTCATTTCGATAGTAATTTGGAAAAAATCATCAAGGGTATTAAATGTGCTCAAAAGTTGAAAGATTGGATATCAAATTTGCTTTTTTCTGAAGTTTGTGGACCAAAAATAGCTTCTATGTCAAATTTTAGATACCAAAACTGCATTTTTATAAAATCTTAAGACCTCACAGTTCACACAATGAATAGTGGAGTAACTAATAAAGTAAACGAATTCATGTGCAAGAAAGAACTTTGGAAAACAAAAGGTACAATGAGCTGATTATTCAAATTTCAAAGTCCTGATTATTGAAAATAAATTACAGCAACACTGGAAGGAAATTACAATCTCTTCCCCGGAATTGGTACGGACACTTATTGGGGATTTACTTATTTTACACATACACATACGTAGTCAACGTATAATATGTATATTTTTACGACAAGTGCTTCAATTATAAATTATCACACTTAACAGCGTTGAGCCTTCAGAAGATCATTTCTTGGACTTGTTCGAAAGACGAAGGCGCCTCTCCTGAGAGAGTGATGCTGCCAACCTACATATTCAAAGATCAAATTAAAAAGCAAGATTGAGCAAATTCAAGAAATCTAGATATTTTTGAAAAAACAGTAAATATTTTTTTGCTTTTTTTTTTTTGGTTAGATCAATTTTTTTTTTTCAGATTTGTGTATCACATCTGAAAATTTTTATAGTCAGTCATGGCAGTTTTTAGGACTAATATATTTGTAAATAAAGTAATTCTAGGAGTGCCGAATTTTAAAATCTGTTTTCTAATAAGTAATTCAAACCAAATAGATCAAAGGGTAGTCGAAGAGTAGATAAATTGAATTAAATCAATGTAACTTGATAAGCAAAAGAAAAAAGGGCTTGAGGACGATGGTTTGCACCTTTTGAGAGCCTCCTCGTTTGTGCCCTTGTTCACGGACTCACTAGCACCACTCTGCAAATTAGTCCTAGAAAGCGGTTTCTTCAACAAATTCTCCCCAACTTTGACAAGATTCTCTAAATTTTCCTTTGTGGCAAGATCCACAGAACCCAGGTCTCCAGATAACGTGTCATCCTGAAATATGCATGTTTGTACAAGCGTACGCTTATATACTATTTGGAGGACAGAAAAACTATATATAAATCAGGGCCTTCAAGGTTCGTACTAATATAGCTCATATTGCTTTCTTTTTTACTTCCAATTTTTTTTTCTTAATTATTTTTTCAAGTGTAAGCAAAAAAAAGATAAAAGAGTACAGCTAGCGCAAAGACTTTTACCTGAATTCGCAGATAATTTTCTTGACACTGCATAGTTTGAAAAATAGTGGAAAGATGAAGATCAGCGATATCGCCACTTGCTTGAGTGTATATATCTATTATAGGAGTTGTATTAGCATTTGTCAGCCAAGACAAGAGTCCCCACTTGGCAACATCCTCAGCATCAAACCCTCCCGCTTTTGTAGTACCCGTTCCCAAGGACAGAACAATGAAACGACTATAATCCGATGAACCGACAGAGGCGAAGTCGGGATTTCCTCGACTAATCTCCCTAGTCACTTGGCCCATAGCAACTAAGGTCTGAAGAAAATACAGTCGACAGATATAAAATTGCAGTAATCATGAGGAAAGTAATAATTTTGTAATAAAATAATTAGTGCATGGCTCTCAAATTAACATGGGATAGATGAGATTTAATATCTTACCGGATTGTTGGCCGCCATGCCACCATCGATCATGTGAAATTCTCTTGTGCTGCCATCAGGTTCCTTAGTTTCGAATTTGTGGGCAGGAAGATAAGTAGGAGCAGCCGAAGTTGATATGCATATATCGCTGAGCAAGGCGTCCAAACTTGAAAAGCGCTTCATCTGAGCCATTAAAAACACGAACCATATTAATTTCTGTTGGATGAGATAAAAGTAAACAATAGTCTAACTAAAATAACCAAGGTTTCTTGAATTGGTACGAACTGCATAGCTGGAGAAGATGGTGGGCTGGAATAGTTTGACGTCGAAAGCTGGGATGACAACATTAGTCAATGCATCGTGCAATCTGCTCTGGCCAAGCTTTTCCCGGAGCATGCAATGGAGATATTTCCCGTCATAGCTGGGTCCTGTCATTGATTTCACCACGTTTTCGACTCCACTGAATAGATGACTGGTCATGGACGAAAGTCGTGTCAATTGTAAGTTAAAAGTAGCATACACAATTTGAGTTTCTTGATATAGTACGCATTAAATTATTTGGAATGAAGATGGATCGAGTCTAATTAAGATATGGTATAAAAAAAAAAGTCTAATTAAGATATGGTATAAAAAAAAAAAGTCTAATTAAGATATCTACTTTGATTGAGGGAAGATTTTGGGACACTCCTCAAGGTAGAAGTCCTTGATATCTTTCGCAGCATAAAGAGGTCTTTTCTTCTCATTTGGAGCTGTAAGCATGGCAGTCACAAGGCCACCAGTGCTTGTGCCGGCAATCACATCAAAGTAGTCAGCAAGTCTTACATCCGAACCATCCAATTTCTGCACCAAGGCCATTCCAAAAATGAATTATGTACAAAGAGAATTTCTACACCAAGGCCATTCAAGAAATGAATTAGTACAAAGAGAGATTCAATTTTCCTTTTGGTCCATGGAATAGTCGTGCAAATCGAGTCCATGATTGTGTAGTTACGCTACACAAAATTAAAGATTGGAGAGATTAATTATTTTCAAACCTGAAGCTCAGTCTCTAAATATCCAAGGATTACTCCGGGGATGATTCCTCTGATCCCTCCACCATCAATGCTTAGGATGGTCACACAATTTCCATAAGATTGAGGCTTCAAAGCTGATACGGTGGTTGCCATGATGGATTGTAAGTTAAATACAAAGGAATGGAGAAAAAGAACTCAGAAAATGAAGGTTTCAAATACTAAAATGAAGCAAAACAAGGAAGAAAATGAAACCCTTTTTAGACTTGTATATTGTGATTGTTGAAACTTTTGTGTGCTGCATCCATGACGAAGTGGGGGTATTTATAGTGTTTTCCTACTCCATCTTCGAAGTACTTAGCTCATTAACGTCAAAACAAAAAGTAAAAAAAAAAAAGGCACGTTTTTTGTTTATGCAAATTAAACTCATCTACTTTTCATTGGAAAGATGGTGCATGTAGTAGGCTTATCCAAAGGTATAGGAAAACCCCCAAGATTTACCTCAGGAAATCCCTAAACTAAGCTATCTCTCTATTGCGATGCATTACCTACCTATCTGTCCCCAGAACAAAGTTGCCCATTGTTGTAATACACAATTATTGTCATAGTTTCTCATCAAACGCATAAAAACTTTGGGACCCATCCCTCATAATTGTGCTAACTTATCTTGCAATTTTTTATGAAAGTAAATCAAACTTTACTAAACAGGGACATTTTAAAGTATTTATTTAAAATTTTGACCAAGTCAATTAGAAATTTTAAGGTTTTGCTACTAATATTATTAAATTGACGGAGATTAGTGTAATTTTTAAAATCTTGACAGTGAAATTGTCAAAAACAACAGGAAGGCTTCTGCAATTTTCCCTTTGAATAATGTTAGTTTTGAAAGAATAAACTGGAGAAGATTATGGGGTTCTTTTCAATGGCTGTGGCTATCCCATTCAATATTTCTCTTTTCTTTTCTTTTCTTTTTCTTTTGCCTTTCTTAACAGGAAAACTCCGTCCAACTAATTCTTAGTGGGTCGTATCGTACGTAACCTATCAATCTTTAATAGCAACTTTTACTAAGCACGACGACGTTTGTTTAGGAAAAAAGCATTACATTGATCCGTCATGGACGATGCCTAAGGTTCGGAGACCGCCCGGAGAAAAACTCCACTGGCTTCTGTTAATGATGTTGTCCTCTCTAAATTAATACAGGTATATAATTTTCGAACGAAACGAAACAGTATCAAGCCTCATCATTTTCCAAGTCTTCTTATCTCACTCACAGCCTCAAACGTGTCAGCCAATACTGCCCCAAAAAAACAAAAATCAAGATTAGTGGAAGTTCATTCATATTCTAAAGCATTACTTCAACGTGGCCGCCATTGCTTACTTTCGTGTGTCTGTCCTACCAACTATAACAATTTCTTACCCCACAAGAAATAAAGAAAAACTAAAATAATTTCGAAAATGCCCAATGATTTGAGGACCGTCTACACCAGGGCTTCAAGTTTTACACGTGTAGAAAAATGTGCCTTTAAATGAAGCATGATAGAATCGTGCATGCATCAAGTAATTAGCTGGTCAACCGTCAACGTCCACTGCTGTGCCATTGTCGTTCATTGTGTATTTGGCATTGGGTCTTTGGTCCGGTGATCGCTGCCAAACCTTAATGATGCGGGAGGTCAAGGATTCGACCCTTATCTTTCACAAAAATTTGTTCATAATTTGTGACGGTTTTCAGTGGTTATTTTCGATAAAATTTCTACTCATATCGAGTCCCCTCCCCTTCCCCTTCTCTTTAGATTAGGTTAGATTAAATTATAAAAATTCTATCGTCGCGACAAATAAAAAAAAGAATATTTGGCCTAGCATCCAATGCACTTGAATAAGCAAACAGTAAAATGAAAGTTGAAGGAAACACCCAAAACAAAAACCTTTATACACATGACAAAATGTAAGAACTGCAAGGATCATGCATCTGGACTTGTAGATTATCATGCATTTTGACTTGAGATTAGCTAGGCTAGATATATTGTTGCCCCCTAGAATCTTGCCTCTGGCTGCCGCCGACCCTGCTAGAGGTTCTCGATTACACCGACAAATAAATAATGCTCGTGGAGGAATTTTACCAAGCTCGATCAACGACTGAGCAAAATCAAAAACCATCTCAGGAGAAGGATGTACTTGGAGCTATCTAATGTACAATATATTTTTATGGGTCTGATTCTTGGAATCTTTTTCCTTTAATTTTCCCTGTGTCAAATGAGGAGATTGGAGAATTCTTAACAATTTTTTCAATTTTTAGTAGTTTGAACTGGGATTTTAATCAGGATATTCCTGGAAAAAGTAAACAGTAAAATCAAGAGTTCAAACAGAAAACAAAAAAAAAAAAAAAGACAAGAAAAGAAAAGAAAATGTAGCTGAAGAAACTAATCAGTTGATGGTTTGGTTTGACATTTTCAATTTGTTTATCATGTGATATTATAGCACCAAATAGAAAAGACTTGTAAGGTATTGGAGTGATCGAATTGTGTGCTTATCGTAGAGTTTCTTTTTAGTTCTCATTGCAGATATTTTAACTGCTTGTGTTGACTTCCTGCTCTATCTAATAATATATTATTATTTTAGCTAGAAAAAACAAAGAATTCTGATTTGGGCTTGTATTCGTCACCATATGCATGCAGGCCCAGGAAAAGAAATCCATAATTGCTCGTCTCTCCGACTAATGCATCAGCACATCGGCAACTCCAATTTTTTTTTTTTTTTTTAATAAAACGGAAGCCAATGTAATTAATAAACTAGTTGGAAACATTTCCAGTACGATTTTCTTTTGCTTGATAAAGAAAACTATATCAATGGTAGAAAATACAAAGAATATGACACAGATATTGTAGAAATATAAACCAAACTAGTGTTATTGGTTAGTTTTATTTTATTGGCCACATGTCATTTCTTTATTGGCTAGTTTCTTTGGCAAGTCAAAAGTTGGTCACATGGGATAAAATCCCATATTGGTAGTACTAATAAGTTGGGCAAGTCTGTAGGATACACAGGTTGTATAAAGCCTTTGCTTTTTGGTTTTTGTACTTGTGTAGCCACAACCTCCTTTGAGTAATAGAAGAAAATTTCTTTCCTTTTGCTTCATATATCAAATTCTTGAGATTGTTCCTGTCCTGTCGGTTTATATGTGTTTATTTATTTGGGTCTTTCAAAGTGGTACCAAAGTTATGGTAGATTGAAATATAGCAAGCTTTAACCCCAATATTATTTGTTTTATTCAAAAACTCAAAATAAATGTGGAGTTTCAATTTTTAACAGAAATAAATGATAACCCATCTCAAGGCATGAAAATTACATCGATATATTGAATCTGCACTTGCCCAAGATGCCAGTGAGGATGATAAGGCGAAAGATAGTTTGGCTTTGTCACAGATTCATCAGGCAATTGACATTTCAATTTTTGAAAAAATTACTACAACTAATACGACAAAAGAGGCTTGGGATATATTGAAGAAAACATACAAAGGGATTGGCAGGGTCCAACAAAATAATTTAATGATGTTGAAGAGAAAATTTGAACTCGTGACGATGGAAAAGTCGGAGTCTATTGAGTCATATTTTTCTTGTTTGTCAGATATTAAAAACGAGATGAAACTGAATCAGTATAACCTTCTTGACATAACATTTGTTGAGAAAATTCTCAATACCCTACCTATGAAATTTGATCATGTGATAGCTGTAATCCAAGAAACGAAATATTTGAAGGATTTGAATATTGAAAATTTGCATGGGTTATTAATTCTGCACGAACAAAGAATTAATTAAAAATTGGAAGATACCCCGGAGAAAAATACAGTAAAAAAGACGTTGCAGGTACAGTTGAATTTGAGAGACAATAATAATGTTATGGAGCAAGGCGAATCCAGTCAAAGGAACAGAGGTGGTTACAATAACAGAAGTGATCGTGACAACAATAATAGAGGCCGAGGAAGTACATCAAATCTTGGATGCGGTAGAGGTAATAATTTCAATTTTGGAGGTGGTTATGGTAGAGGCAGAAGTGGTAATTTTGGTAGAAAAATAATTTTAATCAGAATAATTTTCAAAATAATTTTGGACAAAGAGCTTAATGTTATAATTATGAAAAATTAGGTCATAGACAATTTAAATGTAGATTTGGAGAAAATGAAGACAGAAATTTTCAGGCTAATGTTGTTGACAATCAGGTGCAAGATAATAATAAAAAATCTGAAACTTTATTATTAGCCCATAATGCTGTTGATATGGTTGATAAAAATAAATGATACTTGGATAAGAGTTGTAGTAACCATATGTTTGACAAGAAAGAATTATTTGTTGAGATTGATAAATCTGTCTGTGATGAAGTTGAATTTGGGAATAACACTGTTTTACCAGTGATTGACAAGGAAAAAATTTCTGTTAACTTGAAAAATAGGTCTATTGATTTTATTTTTTATATTTTCTATGTTCCTGGCTATATCAAAATTTGTTGAGTACAGGCTAATTGTTTGAGGAAAAAAAATGATATTTGTATCAGAAATGGTGTTTGTACTATTTTTGATAAAAATATTGGAATGATTACTAGTGTACCAATGACTTCAAATCACTTATTTCCACTGAATTTGAGTAGTGTCAATTTTTCTTATTTGAGTATAATAATAGATAACAGTAATTGGTTGTGGCATATATGATATGGTCATTTGAATTTTGATAATTTAAAATTTTTGACCGATAAAAGAATGGTTGGTGGATTGCCTAGTATTAGAAATTCTGGTAGAATCTGTGATATGTGCGTTTTGAAAAAATAACATAGGAATGCTTTTCAGATTGGCAAATCATGGAGGGTCAGAAGACCATTAGAAATTATTCATTCGGATTTATGAACTGTGGAGGTTCCTTCTAATGGTGGTTGCAAGTATTTTATTACCTTTATTGATAATTTCAATAGAAAAGATTGGGTGTATTTTTTGAAACAAAAATCTGATGCCTATGACATTTTAAAATTTTTAAAACTTTTGTTGAGAGACAAAGTGGATGTCAGATTAAAATTTTGAGAACAGATAGGAATCAAGAATATTTGGTGTGTGATGATTTTTTTTTGAGAAAAATAGGATACAATATCAGTTGACTACCAGGTACACTCCCCAACAAATTGGAGTGGTGGAGAGAAAGAATATGACAGTTATGGATATGGTGAAATGTATATTGAAAGTAAAAAATATGCTAAAATTATTTTGAGCAGATGCAGTTTCTTGTGCAATTTATCTGTTAAGCAGATG